CCTTCCGGACGGGTTTAAGTTTGAAATTTGACTGAGCGCGAGGGAAGTCAAAATCACGACCCGTCCATTGTGTAGGGTTGGCTGCTCACCTCACGACAAACTGCCAAGCGATTTTCTACGCACACAACAATACAGACGAGCGACCGATCTTACTACCCAGAGACCAGGGGAAATTAGTACCCAGAGACCAGTTTAAAAAAAAATTAATTTGGCAGCTGCCGGATTGCCGAAACCCGGGATTGAACCAGGGACCTTTAGATCTTCAGTCTAACGCTCTCCCAACTGAGCTATTTCGGCTGCCGGTAGAATATTATTTCTTTCGTATTTTTGATTTCGATTCTGAAATTCGCTATGACTATTATGATGTTTATTTATAGCTGAAGACGAAGAAGAAGAAGAAGACGATGAATCTAGCCATATAACCCAACTTGAAATATCAACTCCCTTTTAGTGTACGGTGTTCATTCAGAAGTTAATGTAGAACTACAGATTTATTTAGTTGTAACATAGGTAAAATTCAAACAATGCTGACTAGTTTTATATCGATGATTTATAAAACGAATCTTGTCGTTTTAAAGCAATGAATATCTTCCACGTTTACTTTTTTAGTCAATATATTCTCGTAATTAAACTTTATTTACATATTTCCCTGACGCCGGAGCAGGCTGCAACCTTTGACCTTTGACCCCTGCCATTTACGGAACTGCCGAAAAAAAATATTAATAAGAATAACTTCTTGTGTGGGTCCGCGGCCTTTTTTTTTTTTGGCTGGCAAAAAAGGAGGGGGGATTGGGGGGGGGGGGGGGGGGGGGGGGGAATCGTGTTTTTATTGTAATTCTGATCTAAATTAGTTTTCATTTCTGTGATATTCTTCTTTGAACCTTCGCACCATCTTTTTGAGTTAAGTGATGTGTTTTGAGTTGGATTATCTTCACACAGATTCCCCTCTCATCATTTTCATCAGCGTTGCTCGGTTAATAGTGCCAGTCTTATGCCAAAACATTTAATATCGTGTTCTCCAGATGCATTTGAGAGGAAAAGGGCCATCCAGTCTACCAGAAGTGAACAGAGTCTGGCCAGAGATGACTACTTACTTGACTGACATAGGCAGGTCATTATCCTACGTCTACGGACGGGACATAACCAACTTAACCAGCATATGCACAGGCTTCGTCTAAGTAGTTCACCTTTGTGCCCTTGTAGGCTGTGTGTGCAGACTACAGAATATGCCCTGCAAGAATGTTCCTTGTGCAACCCATTAAGAAGGAAATACTGGCCCACTTAGTCAACATATGTATGTACTCACAGTTGTATGGATCTAAAAGCAACAGTCAAGTTTATCATAAGAACTTGTTTTTCGGTGTAAATCAGAAGGCAATCCCAAGAAGCAGAAGAAGAAGAGACGTCTCTATCAGCAATTTTTGTGTGTCTGGCTTTGTTCCAGTCCAGTCCTCTGTCAGTTAGGGACTGTCGGGTGTTGTCTTCCCAGCGGATCCTGGGTCGCCCTGGAGGTATTGGTTCACTCGTTCGTGGCCTCTCATACCTTCCTTGGTGGAGGATTTTTCTTGCATTCTGCATACATGTCCAAACCATCGTAATTATGACTGATCCACTGGAGTTTGTAAGGGTTGGGTTTCAAGGTTATGACGTATTGTTTGACCTTTCTCAGATATCTCGTTTCTGAGGCCTGGAGCTGGCTTCTGTGAGCTGTTGTCATTGCCCATGACTCACACCCATAGGTCAGGACTGGTACAATGGTAGAGCGGTAAACAGCCATTTTCGTTGTCTGGCCAATTTCAATTTTTGCTGAAAAACTTGCAGTTAATGGTCCTGAAGAGTCCCACAACAGCTTCTTTCTGTAAGCCCCAATAAGACGCATACTCTTTTCATCGATACGCAAAGTCTTTAGAAAAAGCAAATTACATGCATCTTGTTTTATATTCATCATCATCATCAGATGTCTTGCTGACTGGCGTGGGCGATCAAGCCTCTCCATAATCTGCGATCTCCTGCAGCATGTATCAGTTCGTGTGCTGACACACCTTCATGCCATGCAACAAGACTGTCAAGTATCTTCTCTCGTTGTCTTCCTCTATCTCTCCTTTCACATATCTTTCCAGTGGTCACAACATGTTCTATTTTCCCTCTTCTCATAACATGGCCGAAAAATGATGACTGTCTCTTTCTGATGTCTGTGATAAGTTGTCTTCGGGCTTCCGCCTCTTTCAAAACCTCTTGGTTGCTCTTTTTGGCTGTCCAAGGTATTCTAAGCATTCTTCTGTAAAACCACATCTCCGAGGCCTCCAGAAATTGTTTAGCCTGCCTACCGATTGTCTAGGATTCACAGCCATATGTTAGAAAAAGAATTCTTGCTTGTTACATACATCCAGTTTTAACATATGTCAAGAATTCTTTTTCTAACTCTCAATGACAAGGATAAAGATGTTTTTCATTTTATATTATATTATATTTACATTTTATATTCTTCTTCTGCCTTTCTATCCCCCAATGGAGCATAGGCCCTCAACCAACTCACGCCAAGTCGTTCTATCCTTCGCCATTACATGGAGCTCTCCCCATGTCCTCCCAATCTTTCTAACCTCATTCTCCAGCTCTCTTCTCCATGTGTTTTTTGGCCTTCCTTTATTCCTATGCCCCTGTGGGTTGCAATGCAAAGACATTCTAGTTATGCTGTTCTCCTGTTTTCTCAGTGTGTGCCCTATCCAACGCCAGCGTCTTTTCCTCACTCCCTGATCCACTGGAGCCTGTTTAGTTCTCTCCCAAAGTTCTACATTAGTTATTCTATCATACCAGTTTATTCCCTATATTCTGCGCAGGCACCAGTTAATGAATGTCTGTAATTTATTAGTAATTGCGTTGGTTGTTCTCCATGTTTCCGCCCCATACAATAGTACTGATTTGACATTAGAATTAAAAATTTTTAGTTTATTATTTCTTTTAATTTCTTTTGACCTCCACAAATTCCCTAGTGCTATGAAAGCCACTCTTGCCTTTTGTATTCTTATTTTAATATCTCTATCAGTTCCTCCATCTTTATCTACATTACTGCCTAAATAGGTGTACGACTCCACGTCTTGGAGTGGGGTGCCATTAAGAGAAACCACATTGCTATTTGCCTGATTTATTCTCATTATCTTTGTCTTTCCTTTATGGATTTTCAGACCAAGCTGCTGTGATCTCGCATTTAGTATATTTAATTTATCTTGTATCTGATTCCGTGAATGGGACAGAAGGGCAATATCATCAGCGAAGTCCAGATCATCAAGCTGTTTTGTAGGGGTCCACTGAATTCCATACTTGGTGTTAGCAGTTACTGTTTTCATAGTCCAGTCTATTGCCAGTAAAAATAAGAGAGGCGACAAAAGACATCCCTGTCGCACACCTGTTTTTATTTCAAATGCATCTGTTAGCTTTCCCTCATGAAAAACTCGACATTTCATGTCTTTATATGTTGCCTTTCCTAAGTTGATAATTTTATGTGGGATTCCATAGTGCCCCATCAATTTCCAGAGAGATTCCCTATCAATGCTGTCAAATGCTTTTTCATAGTCTATGAATCCAATGTATAGTGGTGAGTCAGTTCAATGCTTTGCTCTATTATAATACGTAATGTGGCTATCTGATCAGTACAGGATCTGTTTGACCGAAAACCTGCCTGCTCATCTCTTAGCATTTTATCAATAGCATCTTTTAATCTTTCCAAAATAATTCTACTTAATATTTTTCCAGGAACTGTCATTTTATATTACCGATCTTTTTTATGTCACTGTTGACATATAAGCTACATGAACAGCTGATCTTCATTGATGCGGCTCTGCTGCCTTCTTGCTCATGGTATTCTTGACAGTTTACAGTCTTTTCCCTTAAAAAAGGTTGTCCCATGTGGAGCGCAATTTTTTGTTTTGTTATTTTGAAATCCCCCCCCCCCCCTCCCCCCCCAAGGCTTTTCCTGGGGTCGCAATATAACCTGAAGGCTAAACGCGGTTTTTGATACCTTTCCACGGGTGATCCTCATCCGTATGGTGGTACTTTGTGTCAACGAGTGTTTATCGCTCTGTGTGATGTCCTGTGGGGTAACATTTACTTACTTACTTACTCCTATCCCTTAATACCACCCTTCTCTAGGTTTTATTAGACGTCCTCAACTCTCCTTCACGATACCCGAGTCGCTGTCTTTGCCAAAGTGTCACGCGATATTCTGCAAACATTTCTAAGCCCTCTTTATATTCTTCCTTTGATAAAATTTTTCTTCCTTGCCAGCTCTGTGATCTTGTTTGGTCAAACTATTGGCAAGATATCCTTGAACTTGTATTTTGAAAATCTATATATGTCTACCTTTGTATGTGGCTGCGTGGCTCAGAGGCTAGCGAATATGGCTACAATTTCATGACCCTTGAGTACAGAGGTTCGTTCCCCGCGATGGACGGGTACAAATCGTTCAAGTGGTTTTCGGACAATGGTACGATCGTGGCACAGTGTCCTCACTAATCGTTACATTCTACACTTTAACGAAAAAAGTTTTCTCAATCTTCATGCCCTGAACATCAGTCCTTACATCCTACCCTTAAACGAACATAGTTCTCTAAATCTTCTTTGTCTTCATTATCCTTACATCCTAAACTTTACCCAGCATAGTTCTCTAAATCTTCATTTTCTAAACATCAGTCCTTACATCCTACACTTTAACCGACATAGTTCTCTGAATCTTCATTCTCTAAACACCAGTTCTTACATACTACACATTACCGGCATAGTTCTTTAAGTCTTTCTTCTCTAAATACCACACCTTACATCCGACAGGTTAAATTTCACAGTGCTCCAAATCTTCACCCTCTAACAACACCAGAAGTTCTGTGTCAAACACAAGACAGGCCAATGCCCACAAGTTGAAAAAAGAAAGTAAAATTTGGAATAAAAGTTCGTAAATCGGTTGTGCTGAAGAGATGAACGCTTAGGGAAAAGAATTGACGCCATATCTGTCACATGTTGGATTCTACATACTTCACAAATTCTGAGGAAGATACAAATGGACATGAATCAAACAATAAGTGACATTTAAAACAGGTGTTTAAAAGTGAAAAGTATCTGATGCTATACTTTTTTTTAAACAGGCCAATCTCCACTCACTTTAAGGACATGGTCAACATCCATACGGTCGCCTTTACTTCCTAATACCTCCGTGTGGGTTCCGGAGCCCTATAACAGGGAAAACAAGAATAGACCAACTGCCTACCCAAAAGCGTGTCGTAAGAGTCGACTAATTGGGAGCTTCCTTCAAAGTCGGAGTGCATCTGCCTGAGAGGCAAGGAACCAACAGTCTGCACACAAATGTGTCAGATTTGTCAAACTGATGCACACGCAACACTCCGGTTCTGGAACAGGACTGCAGTCTAGAAGTGGACGAACAACCGGAACTTTCCACCAGAGTTTACAGCTGGTGAACAAAGAAGAAGAAGAAGACTTTCTAATACTTAACTTGATTCTATGGACAGGAGAGACATCATAAATACCATACGAGAGACTAAATACCGTGAGGCTTTCAGTTTCGTGGAAAGTGATCTTTCACTGAAAGCAGTTTTTGCAGTGAGAATGGAAAAGAGATTGGAGACGGTAGACAGTATAAATTAACTTACAGGAAAGAACAAACATCAGTTGGTAGCCTTCGATAAGGACACTGCGGATTTAGAACACATATACATATGACAGCCAAATAAAAGAATCTGCTGACTTAGATTTTGGAACAGACAAACTCACGAGCATGTACTGCAGGACTGTCCTAACTACGCCCAGCAAAGGCTGTAGGTCTGGCCCAGTGAAGTTACATTACAAGACAAGATGCAGCTGACCAATGTCGACCTTTGACATATCAGCCTGTCTGTGACCCAAACGAGGCTGACTGTTTAGCATGAGTAATGTCGAAAGCAGGAAACGAAGAAGACAAAAAGCCTTAGTGACTGTCGAGGAGTGCACTTTCCAACCCCTTCACATGCCTCTAAATACACAGCCGAGATTTCATTGAGGCATACCTTAATCAGTGCTCACATACCATCATTAGTGCTGACATACCTCCATCAGTGCTCACATATCTCCATCAGTGCTGACATACCTTCATCGGTGCTCACATACCTTCATCAGTGGTCACATACCTTCATCAGTGGTCACATACCTCCATCAGTGCTCATACAGCTTCATCACTACACATACCATGATCAGTGCTCACATACCTTCATCGGTGCTCACATACCTTCATCAATGCGCACATACCTTCATCAGTGCTCACATACCTTCATCAGTGCTCACATACCTTCATCAGTGCTCACATACCTTCATCAGTGCTCACATACCTTCATCAGTGCTCACATACCTTCATCAGTGCTCACATACCTTCATCAGTGCTTACATACCTTTATCAGTACTCACATACCTTCATCAGTGCTCACATACCTTCATCAGTGCTGACATACCTTCGTAAGTAATGACACCGTCTCCATCTTTGTCCACAGAGCGCATGAACTCGGCCACCTGGGCGTCAGAGACGCTCTGTCCCATCTTGCACAGAGCCAGCCGAAACTCTCGCGCTGAAACAGCAAGATCTCGTGTGACAAGGACGTAAGGGGGAACATGAGACTATGACCAACAACTATCTAGCGGTTAAGTTAGTTGCGTATCCTTTACAGGACGTTGCAGAACCAATCCCATATCTTTTTGGTTGATGTAGTTTTTCTAGACAAATTTACGTCCAGTAGTTTGCCATTGCTCCTGGACGGTCGGCTTCTCGATACCACTGTCGAAACCAACGCAAGATGCATTTTCCGCAACTGGAATCCAACCCGGCATACCGGCATTACGAAGCACGTTCGCTACTACGCCTAAGTCACAGACGGCGTCTATCTGTCTGTTACTCCCTAGTTTAATTAATTCACAGTGGCGTTCACAGGATCTCCAGTTGTTCGCCGTTATCGGAAAAGGATACACTATCAGAGGAGCAGAAGGGGAAGCATGTCACGGTGTTTACATTTGTTTTGACTTTTTTTTTAAACAATGATCTGCACAAATCTGCTCGAAATAGAGACTGACGTCCGTATAAGTCAGCGCTTGAAAGGAGTTTGAAAAAAGGTTATCAAAGAGAAGTACAGAAACTTCAAATTGCAGAAAACAAGCTGCAAACACAAAGACGATCCAGTCAACATGTTTGTTTGTTTGTTTTAGTATCCAGAAGCCATGAGTTGTTAACCTTTAGGCTCGGTATTATGGATATCGCAACCTTTCGGCCTTGATACCGTAAATATAGGAGAAATGTGGCTTTCCTGCCCACCCCCGGGATTGAACCCGGACCACAAGGAGTTCGTCACACGCCCACCGCGCAACCGGTTTAACCAACTACGCTAGAGAGCTGGGCCAACATATTTGTTAGAAGACAATATACGACAATAAATAAAAAAAAAGAACACTGCAGATTTAATGCACATTTGCACAGAAATGAGGTTACACAATCCGTCCAGCGTCCCTGTCAAATCGCACTTTAAACACCGTACCCGAACTCATGCTGCAGAACTGTCCTCTTCAGGAATAGCTGCGAGATAATAAAAGGCATCCAAGAGACATTCAAGAGGCATCCAAGAGACATTCAAGAGGCATCCAAGAGACATTCAAGAGGCATCCATGAAACCTTGAAGAGGCATCCAAGAGACATTCAAGAGGCATCCAAGAGACATTCAAGAGGCATCCAAGAGACATTCAAGAGGCATCCAAGAGACATTCAAGAGGCATCCAAGAGACATTCAAGAGGCATCTATGAAACCTTGAAGAGGCATCCAAGAGACCTTCAAGAGGCATCCATTAGAAATCTAAGAGACATCTAAAAGACCTTCAAGAGGCATCCATTAGAAATTCAAGAGGCATCCAAGAGACCTTCGAAAGGCATCCATGAGAGATTCAAGAGGCATCCATGAGGCATTCAAGAGGAATCCAAGAGGCATTCAACTGACATCCAAGAGACATTCAAATGACACCCAAGAGAAATTCAAGAGGCATCCAAGAGACATTCAAAAGACATCCAATAGACATTTAAGAGGCATCCAAGAGACATTCAAGAGGTATCCAAGAGGCATTCAAAAGACATCCAATAGACATTTAAGAGGCATCCAAGAGGCATCCAAGAGACATTCAAGAGGTATCCAAGAGGCATTCAAAAGACATCCAAGAGGCATTCAAGAGGCATCCAAGAGGCATCCAAGAGGTATCCAAGAGACATTCAAAAGACATCCAAGAGACATTCAAAAGACATCCAAGAGACATCCAAGAGGCATTTAAGAGACATTCAAAAGACATCCAAGAGACATTCAAAAGACATCCAAGAGACATCCAAGAGGCATCCAAGAGACATTCAAAAGACATCCAAGAGACATTCAAAAGACATCCAAGAGACATTCAAAAGACATCCAAGAGACATTCAAAAGACATTCAAGAGACATCCAAGAGACATTTAAGAGGCATCCAAGAGGCATTAGAGAGGCATCCAAGAGACATTAGAGAGGCATCCAAGAGACATTAGAGAGGCATCCAAGAGACACTAGAGAGGCATCCAAGAGACATTAGAGAGGCATCCAAGAGACATTAGAGAGGCATCCAAGAGACATTAGAGAGGCATCCAAGAGACATTAGAGAGGCATCCAAGAGACATTAGAGAGGCATCCAAGAGACATTAGAGAGGCATCCAAGAGACATTAGAGAGGCATCCAAGAGGCATTTGTCGTGAAATGATAGCCATTACGCATCGGTCTGTAAGGCTGATAACCTGTCTTACCTGTAATCTGCACAAAATTCAAACTTGGACTCGCCCAGAAATATATAGTCCCTAATATCTATATATATAGGCCTGTATTGGACAACATTATTATGTCTGCCTTTTCTGGTTACTTTAACTAAACTCCACTTTTAAATGTATATCTCTTGGAGATATATTAAGGGAATTATTTGAGGTTTCTTGGAAACCGATTTACTCCTTGCCCAAGTATACATGGGACTCCTTTTGTACCAACGCCTGAGGTGTCTAAGTGACGCTATTCTCCTTGCCAGCGTCTCAAGCGTCCAGATGTGTTAATCTGTGCCTGTATAAATTTCACTTTCCAAGGCAATCTGGAATGTCTCAGTTTTTACATATGCTTGGGATGTATCTTTTCTGAAGAGCTGGCAGAAGATTCACAGTCAAACCAACATATACAAACCATCAAACCACCAGCTAACACCTGTGAAGGTTCCTGACATCTCTAACATGTGGGAGATGGTACCTCAAACAGCTACCAGTGCTAGAGCTTAGTGTGGCTCAAAGACATTGTGTGTCCTTACTGGTGATAGAGACTTGCTAAATACCGGTACAGTTGCTGTGTCTTCTATGGTGAAGTACTCTTTCACTACCTGATCCAGTTGAGCAGAATTACCAGAGTCAAAGACAGTCGAATCATCAGGAGCTGAGGGAGGCATCATAGACAGAAAGAGGCTAAGTGTAGTTTGACGCCTTATATGCTTTATTCCTCACAGCTCCTTGTGTCCAATGATGACAAGATGTCATCTCCAAGACCTTCTGTCTGTGTAGTATCTTTGTGATTTGGACAGGATATCCTGAGATCTAGCCTAGGAGATCTGGCAATTGTCTCACTTTTATGTATCTATTTTATATTCATTACATGCATTCATTTTCATGGCTGACTTAGGTGTTCCTATTTCACCTTTTTAAGTGTTTAGCAGTTGTGTATGTATGTATCTTCATCATATGTGTTAACATGGTTATGATAATGAACTATCATAACCTGGGGGCTTTCTTTAGTAAGTAGTGGGGGTGTCCAGCCAAGTGTGCCTAGAAATATGGTATATATATACTGATATATTTTGTAGTGCCAATACTTGAGTTGCCCTACTCCAGAGATAAGTTGAGCGTATATTGGCCACGGGGAATCCCTTAGACCAATACGAGCCAAACGACTCAACATAATTATCTCTGAGTGCTGTTGGTTCTGAAGGAGAAATCCTTACATTAGGCACGCGACAGGAGTGATATGTGACAGCATTAGAGAGGCATTAGAGAGGCATCCAAGAGACATTAGAGAGGCATCTAAGAGACATTAGAGAGGCATCCAAGAGACATTAGAGAGGCATCCAAGAGACATTAGAGAGGCATCCAAGAGGCATTAGAGAGGCATTAGAGAGGCATCCAAGAGACATTAGAGAGGCATCCAAGAGACATTAGAAAGGCATCCAAGAGGCATTAGAGAGGCATCCAAGAGGCATTAGAGAGGCATCCAAGAGGCATTAGAGAGGCATCCAAGAGGCATTAGAGAGGCATTAGAGAGGCATCCAAGAGGCATTAGAGAGGCATCCAAGAGAAAGTTTGAGGAACTCTCAGAGACTGATTGCAACACGACAGATAACCTGAGCGCATGAAACCGATCGTTTAGAAGAAGAGAAGAAGAAAGACGTATAATAAAAACAACTGTCCTTGGCAGTGACAGCTTTCGTTACATAATTGTGGGAAATAATGTTACATTAATTAAAAAAAAAAAACTGTCATCATCATCATAATTTGTATCACTATCATCCTCATCATCATTTCCATCATCATCATCATTGTCATCATCATCATTATCATCATTATCATCATCTCATCATCATCATCATCCTCAGTCACCATGTCCTTTTTAGAACTTCACTCTCCTCATAGCACGATTGAAAGTACCTATTTGTCTAGCCAGTCCTCCAGCCCAATGTACTTACACAGCTAATGCAATTTTCAATACCTCTGCCTCGTTTTCCGGACAAGCCACTACCATCACCGTTTTCATTCGAATATTATCTCACTACAGACTATATGCCCCCTTAAAAGATTATAGTATGTTAAGGCTATGATGTATTTCCATGGGATGTCTTGATGATTTTTTTTTTGAGGGGAAGGGGGGGGGGGGGGTGGAAAAGGGGGAGGGGTGGAGTTGGTGGAGGGGGGAGGGGGTTAAAACTGAAGGTTAATATAATTTTTTTTAACTGAAGATGCCAGTCGAATGCATTTCAATGTTTGTAACTAATATTTAATTGGTTTTGATGATGTTTACATTATGCAACCTGTAAGACTTACATCATTTTTGGAATAGGCTTGTTATTTTACTCTTTAAAACGTTCAAGTAATGTCAGTATCAATTAGAACACATTCCAGCATGTGTAATTAAGACTTAAACATTGCAAAACGAATTTCCCTTTGTTTTTTTTTCCTATTCTATATTTCTTAAATTTTAATTTTACATTCCTCTTTTTATTATTATTATTATTATTATTATTATTATTATTAATATTATTGTTATTATATTTAACTATGAAATGGGGTACAAATGAAAAATTGTATGAAAGGAGCGGAGTCGAAGGGCAGAATATTAGACGGGCCTGTGTGCCCAATTCTTAACTCTTTGAAAATAAAGTTTGTTCGTTCGTTCGTTTTCCTCAGGCCAGCATGACGCTTCACATGGTTAAAATATCCAAACTTTCGGGAGAGGGTGCTGTTTATAAGCCAATTCTCTACGCTGTTTAGATCTGGTAGAATGCCCATGTTTTTTTTTTGTTTTTTGCCTCAGCATTCTAAGAACTTTTTCTAGCATGTTAGTATAAAAGCTCAGATTTTCTTCCTCTTCAATTGACTTCTGATCACACCACGTCCTTTTTAGGATGAAATTTGTCGTTATTTGAAGCCGTACACTGGCTCTTGCCAGGGGCCGCAATATAGCCTGGCCATAAATATGGCCTAATGGCTGAACGCGGTTTCTGGGACCTCTCCACGGTGATCCTCATCCACATGGTTGCACTTTGTGTCATAGGGTGTTTATCGCTTTTGTGATGTCCTGGTGGAGTAGAAAGTCAGTCAGTCAGTTCTCTTCAATGATTGAGTAAGAGTCTATGACTGACCCCGTGAGATAAGACACTCACAAGACCCGCAGGCGCGACGGTTCTGAATATGGAATCATTGATATTTTTGTACTTTTACGGTCGTCTGCGGTGGCTCTCGTCAAAAGGTGAATGTGCTTAAAACGTTTAAAACTTCTTCTTCTTTCTTCTTCGCGTTCACCAGCTGTAAACTCTGGCGGAAAGTTCTGGTTGCTCGTCCCCTACTGAACTGCAGTCCTGCTCCAGAACCTGAGTGTTGCGTGTGCATCAGTTTTACAGATCTCATTCTCTTGAATACATACTGTTGGTTCCTTGCCTCTCCGGCAGATGCACTTCGACTTCAAAGGAAGCTCCCCAATTAGTCGACTCTTACGACATGCTTTTAGGTAGGCAGTGGGTCTATTCTTGTTTTCCCCCACAATGGGGACCTCGGAACCCACACGGGGAGCGTTTAAAACTAACACCTTCAAGAACAGAAGACAGCCGTGGGAACCGCCGCGAAATCTCCGCGGGCGAACAATATGGGGTGAGTTTCGTGAATAGTTCCCTTGTTCATTATTACTCGCCATCCCACCACCCCCTTTTCCTTACATCCCCCAACCCCAACTCCAATACAAGAATAAATAGACAAAGGTTCATGAAAACAGGAAACAACAACCTACCAGTGATCACCCCGTCGCCGTTATGATCGAACGACCTGAATGTCTCGCGGACTTGCTTGTCCACGTTGTGTTTGGCGTAGTACTCGCGGCAGATCAACGACAGGAACTCGCTGAATTCCACGGAGCCGCTCCCTGGAGGGGACGCCCAGAAAAACAAGTTTGTTCTCAATAAGATCAGTAGCAAGTTTCCAGTCTATTGTTTCGTCTCTAGTGGAGAATGCATTTTCCTAATACCTTCTTCTTCTTCGCATTCACTAGCTCTATACTCCCTGGGAGAAAGTTTAGGTTGTTTGTCCACTTCTGGACTTGAGCTATTTTTTTTCAGAACCTGAGTTATGCGAGCACATCCGTTTTATCTCCTCTCCTCTCAGGCAGATGTACCCCAGCTTCAAAGGAAACATCTCTCATTAGTTGCCTATTACGACATGTTTGTAAGGTTGCAGGGGTCTTCTCTTTTCCCTTCCACAGTTGGGTCCTTGAACCTAATCCTTTATGTGACTGTTTTCATGTATCCAATGTTAAATATTCTACATTCTCTCTCTCTATCTGTCTATCCCGGTATCTCTCTGTCCCTCTGTCTGTGTCTCTCTGTATTTGTCTGACTCTCTACCCCGCTGTCTGTCTATCCTACCTTTGGTCTATCCCTCCATCCATCCATCCATCCATCCATCCATCCATCCATCCATCCATCCATCCATCCATCCATCCATCCATCCATCCATCCATCCATCCATCCATCCATCCATCCATCCATCCATCCATCCATCCATCCATCCATTCATCCATCCATCCATCCACCCGTCCGTCCACCAATCTGTCTGTCTGTCTGTCTGTCTGTCTGTCTGTCTGTCTGTCTGTCTGTCTGTCTGTCTGTCTGTCTGTCTGTCTGTCTGTCTGTCTGTCTGTCTGTCTGTCTGTCTGTCTGTCTGTCTGTCTGTCTGTCTGTCTGTCTGATTATCATTATGCCCCTCTGTATATTTGTAGACATGTCTGTTCATATGTGTGCCAGTCCGCCAGTCCCTCTGTCTGTCCGTCTTTCTGCATGTCTGACCGTCAGTTCCTCTGTCTATCTCTCGGTCTGTCTGAAAGTCAGTCTGTCGGTCTGATTGCCTGTCTGACCCTTCGTCGGTATGTCCTTTCGTCCGTCTTATGACTGTTTGTCGGTTTGTCTGTCCTTTCGCGTGTCCACCCATCAGTTCGCTTGTCTGCTCTTGTGCGGCTGTCTGTCCACCAGTTCGTCTGTCTATCTCCCAGTCTGTCTGCCACCCCCCCCCCCCCAAACAGTTTACCATCTTTGTCTGCATTTGCCATCATATCTTCAACATCTGCTTCAGACATGGGTCGACCGATGGCCTTGACAACCTCACGGAGCTCGAAGTGGCTGATCTTGCCGTTACCGTCCTTGTCAAACAGACAGAAGGCCTTGTTGATGTCTGCGGAGTGAAGAATTGAGGGTCTTGTCAGAAATAGTGATGATGAATTTTGCAGCATTAATAGTGGCAGCAAAAGTAGTGACGATGGCGTGAAATACAAGTGGTGGTGATAGTAGTTGTGGTAGTGAGAGAGCAGTAGTAGTAGCAGCAGTGATATTATTAGTAGTAGAAGTAGTGATAGTAACAGTCGCAGTGAGGATGCAACAGTAGCAACAAAAGTAGTAGTGGCAGCAGCAGTAGTAGTAGTAGTAGTAGTAGTAGTAGTAGTAGTAGTAGTAGTAGTAGTAGTAGTAGGATATTAATATTGCAGGAACAGTTGTAGCAATTGCTGTAGTTGTAGTAGGGTAGCAGCAGTAGCAACAGCACCATTATAGTAGCAGTAGTAGTGGTAGCAGCAGCAGCAGTAGTAATAGAAGTAGTTTTAGTAGTAGTTGTTGCAGTTACAAAAACAGAAAACTAATGAAGATCAGGTGGCAAGACAAAGTACCTGATACCGTAGTCATTGAGAAAGCAGCCATGCCCAGCATCCACACTCTACTGATGCAGAATCAAATTCGTTGGGCTGGTCATGTGGCACGCATGCCAGTTCACAGGCTCCCAAAAAACTCTTCTATGGTGAGCTGCAAAATGGGAAACATTCCCAAGGCGGGCAAAAGAAATGCTTTAAGAACACCTTGAAGTCTTCACTCAAAGCATCTGGGATGAATGACACCAATTGGGAGACGGCCTCTCAAGACCAAAATGCACGGCGTGCAGCTCTACACAAGGTCGCGGCTACATGTGAAGCAAACAGAACAGCAAGACTGATTAAGAAAAGGATGGACATAAAGGCGACTGCAGGAGATCCCCTCCCTGGCACAACACTCATTCCCTGTCCTCACTGTCCAAGAACTGTTCGGGCCCTCATCGGCGTCATCGGTCATCTTTGTACTCATACTTGATGAAATAGAGTGGTCATCATC